CCCTCTCCTCGACGCTTAAACTTTTCTGAGCATTTGCTCTTGCGATGGCCTGGCATATTACATGCGAAGCAGTGCCCCATAAATGTTGCGGCAGCTACGTTCATCGCAACAGTACGTTATCTGTAGTGGTAGGACCTGGGCCTCAGTCGACGCAGAATATCAGTGTTCTCGGCGAGCGTCAAGATCTCGTTGAAATTTGAAATGTCGCGTAAGAGGATTTCTTGCACAATTCTGACTTCAATTCGCCGATGTAGCAATCCACTCACTTCACTTCGTGCATGCAGCCGACCTGTTCGCATAGCGCAAAAAAACATCTGGTGTAGTCTTAAACCGACCCAAGCTACCTCTGGCGTGCTGAGATCGAACCCGCGATCTGCTTGAAGCATACCTGTAGCCCTCTGCACCACATGGCCCACATGCGGTATAGGGCGACCTCACAGAAGCTTCAGGTGACGGCGTCCTCGAGGGCCTCTCCACTTGCGATAGTGGCTCATAGGTGCTCGGCGACGTTACAATATCTCGCCACAAGTCCATGGCGGGCTCGGGCAGCAAGGACACGGCGTACCGGATCTTTGTTGATCTACGCGCTCTCCCATGTGCCTGTAGTCATTTTTCTCATACAGCGCCAGAAACCCACTTGTCTAGTCTTATATAGAACCGAGTTGGCTCCAAGTGCACATCTTCTGTTGCGCAGAAATAGCCACCACGATCAGCTCAAATCTCCCGCGCAGACCCTCACACCACGCATCCCACGTGCATTACTAGGCGACCTACGAAATATGACAGTGCTCAGGGTCCGGATGGTCCCTCCCCTTGTGGTAGCAGCTTGTAGTCGCTCGGCTTCATGACGATGATGCGCCACCAGTCTACGGCAGGTCCTTGCAGCAACGATACGTCGCATCGAATCTTCGCCATATCCGACAAGGCATGGTAGCGTGACAAAATACGTTCATGGTGAAGATCTACGCTTAAACCGTCAGACCACCCCGTTGACTAGGTCAGAGCATGGCAGACACTGCGGCTTGAATGTCATTGGTGAGAGAAGTTATGACTCATCGCTCTGTGTTGTGACAATAACGCGTCGTTGAGTCACCGCCGCATTCGTCGCCCCGGGGTGTGCTGTCCTGTGGTCATCACTCACTTCGGCGCACACGACACCATCACTAGCAGCGAACGAGCGTTGTCCCATGCACTCATGTCAACATATTGTTGGTGCTGCTGGTGCTGGTGTTGCTTGTGTTTGGGTCCGTGTGTTGTTACAATGTGCTAGAGGTGTTCGCATTCTGTCATGAGCGTCATGATTTCTTCGACGTTTTTGCGTAGATGTCATGTTAGCTCATCCAGGCACTCCTGCGTGAGGTTGGCGAAGTCAATACGATCCACTATTCCGAAGGAAATTGTCCAGCTTTGGTGCTAGGCACATTCGTGGCTACACGGCTTACTAGAGAGGAAGGGGACATTGTCTCCTAGTACGGTGAATGGCGCATGTCCCTTCGAGTGAAAAATCAAAAGTTGAGCTGTTAGGTGTAGAAAAATGTGCGGGTTGAAAAAGATTTATTTGTGGTAGCCAAGTGTTACGGGTGCAAGTGAGGATTGCACTAAAGAGTGAAACATGTCTGAGTAGGGTTTCAACATGTCTGACGTGTCGTTGCTGCAAGGACCTGCCGTAGACTGGTGGCGCATCATCTCACCATTTCAAACATGTCACACATTTCAAACATGTCTGAGTAACGGTGCATCATCGGCAGGTCCTTGCAGCAACGACACATCACCACGTCACACATGTCTGATATGTGTTGGCGATTAAAGACTAACCAACAACAAACAAGTCAAACCGGACAACCACAGTGTTGGTGGCACTATTCACACTAGCGTTCACAACCTTTGGGCCCCACAAGGGCCCAAAAAGTGCAAAAATTTGGTATAGTGGGGAGAAATCTACTTCTGACCACTCCCAAGCCACGTGTTATGCAATTGCAGAGGCACGGAATGACGATTTGAAGTGAATTGATGAGCCCAATCAGTTACATGTGCCCCAAGGTCGTTTCGAAAGTTTTGTCACGTGGGTCGATCATATGAAATCTATCCTGGCACTCACAAGAAATTGACAAATCTATTCTCTTACGTGGAAACCCAAAACACGTGTTTTGTGCATTGTTGCTAGGGGGGACTTCAGTTGGGGCCCAAATGCAGCGAGCGCCAGGGTTTTAGGGTGGGGCAGGGTACTGCAAGACGTGGTGGGGCGCTGTATGGTTGGGCAGGTTGCTACAAGGTGGATGGGTCATTTGATGGTGTGAGCCTGGCGCAAGGTTGAGCGTTGAGGTGTCATGCAACGCACTCATTGCATCCAACCGCACTCATTGCATCATACGGCGCCCACATATTGCATCCAACCGCGCTCATTGAATACATTCAACCGCGCTTATTCAGCCTCCTATCACTGCTTTTTGCCACCTATCACTTTCATCGCCTCCCTCTTCCCTTTCCCTCTCACTCATCTACACAACTGTCCTCTTTTCTTCCCCCCTTCTCTTTCTCTTTCCCTGTGCAAATAACTCTCCCTTCGTGTATGTTCCTTTGCTGCTTCCTATTTCTACGGCACTAGCAGGCCTCGCATTGGTTCGGGACCCCCTGATCATTGTTATAGTCACAATAGGCTAACATGTGCCTAAATCTAAAGATAGAGTGCGCAAAACGATTTCACAGCACTAACGGAAGTGCTGTAAATTAGAGCTACAACGTCTTAACGTCGTATACTTTAAGCAAGTTGAATCAATTGATTTGAGTGGGGAATGACGACTCAAGACTAGTTTGAGAGAATGGCGGTCTAGCAGCAACTACAGGCTTATTATACAAAATAGGAAGAAGTAACGAGTTTGTAATGACTCCCAGCATCTACAAAGCCCAAGAGTCGAGGTCTAGGGAGGTCGAACAATGCCACACAGTCCCCAACCTCAAAGGGTCTCAAAATTACCCACCATACGGGCCTACACAAAAAATGTTACACTACACAATGCAATGTAACTATTTCCACCATCTCGATTTTGGCAAGCTCTGAAGACACATTTGTTAATGCTCTTGGACTTCATCATATATTTCTCATTGAGTTTTTTCAAGGCTTGCTTCACACACCGCTGAACGTGCAACACACGTCAAAATAGAAAACGCACACGACACGCAAAAGACGAGTGACACACGAGTAGCGAAAATTCGTTGTTGACTCGCCGCACACATTCGACATCATGACTCATCATTCACACATTATTACAAACATGAAGATACATTATCTAATGCCCTCATACCATTCCATTCACACGCATATGCACGTACTAGGATAGTAGGTGGAGTGCAAACAATAGGATTGCACCAATTACCACTCAGTGTTCCCTGGAGGAGAAACACATATTTTTGTGTAATCATCTTAAAACACTGATTTTTGAGTGTTCACACAAAATATAAAAAAAAACACATTGAACAAGGAAAACAAGGAAGGAAAACAAGGAAAACAAGGAAAATAACTTGTCAGAGATCCAGCCGGGAAGGATTGAGCAGGAGCACACCACAGCATAACAAGCTCAAAGGGAAGTGGAACGGTGTGTTTGGTTTGCTGAGCACACCACACGAGCACCACGATGTGTGCATCAGACGAAAGAAGGTACCTCTTGATTTGTGGGCCGCAAGGCCAAAACAGACAAGTGGGTGCGGGTTTCCAGTGGCAACGATGAATTTTAGAGCAAACGACCCATGGAAGTTTGGAAAGTTTACAACATGAGTCCTACCATTACAGCAAAAACAGTCGGTGCTGTTGTGCGGCGTCGCGGTACTGTAGAAGCTTTACAGCCCAAGTAGCAAGTTACGGTGCAAAGCATTATGAATTTGCTAAGCAGAAAATTGAAAGACCAGTGCCACAAAAAACAAAACACAAAAAAATCGGTGCCACATAATCTAGAACGCTGAATATTCAGGGTCAGTACCCAAAACAACATGAAAATCAAGGAAGTCAAGGTAAAAAACTGACTTCATAGGGCCTCCTGTATCCATGTTAAAACTCAGCCACCCTTGATTTGGCTGTTCAATTAACCCCAACAATTCACAAACAATCGGATCAGAGTCATACAGAGTTAGCTTACTAGTTGGGACCACTAAGGTGCTGGGTTAGTTTGGTGAGGACCACAGTTTAGTAGTAATCATGATCCTTATGTCCATGCTCAAGCATATTTGGCTGAATACCAAAGTCTCCTGGATAAAAGACTCGGAATACGGTGAATATTTAGGTGGCACGAGTAGTAAGAGTCATGGGTACACCGCACCAGATCAAGTACAATTACGCAATTTAAGGTATATTACTCGGTTTTTTTTTTTTTTTAGAATAGACAGAATATTTTTTGACGGGAACTTTTATTTTGCTCGTCCAAATCCCTCTCTTGGAGCACCACGAACATGAAACCGCGACTAACACGCGCCGACCAACAAGGCATGACGGCGGGTTATTTCACCATTTGAGGCGAACCGCTCATCATCTTGACTGTGTAGTGCCCCTAGTTGGACACGTCATGGTCCCCTTGTGCACCACGTCCTTTCCTTCTTGCCCAGAAAGAGCAACATGCTCTACACATGGTGCGCAAGGCATCCCTCTCATGTCCAATAGATAGTCGAGCTTGAATTTTCCTACTCGAACGGTGTCTCTGTGGGCTGATTTCTGAGTTTCAGTTTTGGAGTTTAGCTGCACTACAAAGAACACCACATGGCGCGATAACATCGTCATGCGCGCCAAGTCCCATAGATTAGCAATATGTTTACCTCGTGCTGGCTTTCAAAAGCCCATGGCGTACGCGCCATGGCTCGCCATCATCATCGCGGCCGGCAATTGCTTTTATAACTAGCTCGAGTCTGCAAGCACCTCCTGCACCTCCCGCACCTCCTGGCCCGCCGGCTCCTCCGGCGCCGCCATTCTAGGCCTCTCTTAAAACCTGTCGACAAAGGAGGGCTTTCTTGATCCAATGCAGGACGACAAAAATCCCGACGAGACCGATGAGGCGGGGAAGGATGTTGGCGAGTTCCCCAACCCGGTCTTTTGCGCCGACCAGGGCCATGACGACGCCGACCCTGAATCTACGAAAGAAGCCGGGCCAAATATCTGACATGGAGCATGTGGTTTACAAGAAGCTCCTGGGGCACGGGGGTTAGCCGTGCCGATCAAGTTCTTCAAGCAGTAAAGCCGGACATACATGAACTCCCACCACCCCGGTGTCACATGATGGCCTCCGCATGCTGGACATTTTGCTTCCGTACACAGTGGGGCCTATCCATCCACGTGAAGTCAAAGATAGCAGCGACTCGCGAAAGGTTTATAAGCGTTGCCATGCTTTACTCTCCTTTACCCCGTACGCGTGTTCTTCCTGTATGTTTTTGTCTAACGCGCTATACCATTGTTTGTGCAACAAGTTCTTTTTTGTTTTATGGCAGAGTGGATTATTCTGGGTGTTTGTACACGGAACATCATCAGGTGGGGGATTGTCACGTGGAACGTCATAAACGCGAACCAGACCCATATCTTCTTACAGATGCCTTGGGACCAGACTCTGCATCACCGCGGCGAGAAGACTATGCAAGTATGAAGCGCGGGCTATGAAAAGGAACGCGTGACTGTGATGCTGGGTGTCACGGCGGACGGCCGCAAGCTTTTGGCTATGGTCATCTTCAAGCGCAAGACAATCCCCAAGTTTCGAGTGTTGTCAGGTAAGTTTCTTACTAAATAACTAAACCCAATTGCACTATTGTTTGCGTATGACTAAACATACGTTCGTATGCGAGTTGTTCCCTGGCAGGTGTCCTCATCCATGCTCAAGAGAATGGCTGGATGGATGCAAAACTCATCGACGACTGAATGAAAAGGGTTCTTCTCCCCTTTATCAAGCCGCCTCGTGGCATCCGTCGGTCCAAGACCCTTCTGATCTTGGACTCACACCGCGGACACCTCATGGATGGCGTGGTTGCAAACCTGAGGCGGCACCGCATGATCTCGGCAATCATCCCAGGGGGTTGCACACCCCTGCTCCAGCCCCTTTATGTGAGCATCAAACGCTCCTTTATAGCGGGATTGCGCAGTACTACAATGACTTGTTCGCCGAAGGAGTGAACACCTTCACTCCTGCAAGTGCGTAGAGTAACTCCTTGATGCTGAAATCCTTGTTATGGTATCGGTAAAGACAAGCGCACCAATCTGTGTGCCTCCGCCTCACTTGCAGGGAATCTGAAGAAGCCCATTGCGGAGATGGTCCTAAAGTGAATCGCGGGAGCTTGGTAGGAAGTGCCGGAGAATATCATTATCAAGGCGTTCCTAACTAGCGGCATCAGCAACGCCGTTGACGACAGTTAGGATCACCTGGACCTGGTGCGAATGCGAGATGCTGGCCAGGTCGAGGTGGGGGAGGACGTCCACACCTCCGTCGGGGTGAAGGAGTATGTAAAACCCCTCTACACCACATCCGCTGACGACGAGGAGGCTGCACAGGCGGCGGACGACGAGGACTGCGGAGTACGAGGAGATTGAAGAGGTGGACGAGGAGGAGGAGGAGGAGGAGGAGGAGGAGGAGGAGGAGGAGGAGGAGGAGGAGGATGAGGAGGAGGAGAAGGAGGAGGAGTAGGTAACAGGGCGGTGGAAAAGGTGTAGTAGGAGATCGTGCTGAGGAGTGAGTAGAGAAGTGCTAGATATGTAGCACTGTGCCATCCTTGGTAACTAACTTGTTTCATGCCTTCAACAGTACATTTTCTAACCAGTGTAGTGAAGCTTTTGTTGCTCAAGATCCGTCACTTTGAGAACTTACTACGAATTTGTTGAATGCACGTCAGTTTGAGTGCATGTCATCCTAACGTCCTGCTGAGTGCTCGTGCCATTTTGTGCTTGCATTATTTTCATGAGCATATGTCATTATGCATAGCTGTTGAATTTTATTCTCTATGTGTTTTTCTCCAAGACTACATGCTTTATCATGCACGAGAAATCCAGTGCTTTCCAACGATACCAGAATCGCCTTATTCCAACCAAGATCGCCCAAGGTAAAAATTTTCAAAATTTTAGAATTTCTATCTCATTTTGAGATATTATCTACAATGGGCGATGATTGGTTGGGTGGGAAGGCAACTTTGACTTTTCGATTGGGGTGGCTAGAAGTTTCTAGCATAGGTTGCAAATGTTGCAACACCTAGGCAAAATCCGACTAGATTGGATTTTGCATGTGACACCTTAAGGACCTCATGATGAAGGTTGCAAACTTGCTGCTAGGAAAGTTCCAACCATCCGTCCCTTGCTTTTGAAAAACCCATTCCCTCTTATGGTTCTCTTAGAGTTCCCAACTCCAAGTATTATATAGCTTCATGCTTGTACTTCCTCAACCATTCTAGATATGCAGCTGCTGGACTTTATTAATTTGTTCTCACTCTACAGACCATCTTAACGACTTATTCCAATTGAAGATGGTAGCTAAGGCTATGGCCCACAATCTTACTGAGCGGATTTGCATTTAGTTAGAGAGATGTAGCTGCGCGTCTCCACTCGCCAACAACGCACCATACTTCTGCGTCCCGGCCAACGGTCCTGCTTTCGATGTCCATCGCGCGTCGGGTTTGTCTTCCTTCATCGTCATTCCTGGCATTCAGGTCACTGGAGTCACTACTTCTTGACTCCGCCACCGCGCCCGTACTTCTTCCGACCATCGAGCATTTTGCGGAGTATCTCCCAGGTCGGAGGCAGCGCTGTGATCTCGGTCCATGTTATATGCGATCGCGATGGGCCCGGCTTCTCGCCGGCGGCAACAGCGTTGGCGCGCCACCCCACAGTAGGCTTGGGTTCCCCGGTGTCGTCCCACAGTCTTGTGCGCAGCAGGTCCCTGCTATGCATCGGCAATAGCTTCTTGCATGTGTGTAATAAGCTCACAGTCAGCTAGCCACTACTGGCGCACAAACCCTAGCTCGGCTGACTCCTCCTGCTTAGTTACTCATAGTGATGTAAGGAAGTTTAAGCATAAGTGTGAAAACAAACACGCAAGCACGACTTCTACCCTACCTACTTGCTTGAGTATTAAGTATCTACTGCTGGTTACCGTTGCCTTAACGGTACCATTTCGCCCACCGAATCTCAATTTAGACTTGTTCGCTTCGGCCTCCCGCTGATCTGATGTTATCCCTTCTACTGTGTTCTCCTATTATCCTCTAAGTCACGAGTTTATATCTAGTTCACCTACGCATATGAAACTCCGGGGCGTCCCAGAGGTGTTTGACCTCCATGCCGTCCTCTGGGGACTGGGAGGGGGAATGAGTCGTGGAACATAGGGTCGTCGGGGTATTGACGAGGCGGGGAGCATGAGTCATGCGCCATGAGTCATGCGCCATGCGTCGTCATGCGAGTCATGCGTCATGCGTCATGCGCCATGGTGCCCACCAGCTCGTCGCTAGAAACGGGCCCGCTCGACGCCGCCCCTCTCTTTCTCCGAGTCCACCATACAGCAGCACGGCTTAATCCACCGGCGTATGCGGCGGGTGGTGGCGTCGGAGCGGGCGGGGATGGCTGGGCGGAGCGTCAAGTGCCGCCATCGAAGCGAATGCGCGTCCAACACGCACGCCACCCCGGTAGTTGGAACCGACCAGTCTCTAAATTCCGTAGTAACCACCAAAGCACGGCGTCGTTCGCGAGGAGCCGCGGAGGCGGCGACAGGGAGTAGCGAAAGGATTCGGCGTCCTAGGTGTTGCTGGTTCTGAGAACTAAGGTACTGAGGGAAAATAATGGTATTTCTACCCGTCATTCACGCGCAAATGCACCTGTTCCGCTCGAATTCAACGCACATTCTGCGCACAAGCACATTCACTATATCCCCACGATGACCTTACAGTATACTTATCAAAGTAGCCCTAAGCTACCTGTCATCAATGCCCCATTTATATAATCATATAATTACCATACAGCTCACATTCGCGCGTGCCGCGCTAAGAAACCAATTCGCCTACTCGCGCGACGCTAAAGTGTGCCCTATCCATCACAAGGTGTGCCCGCGCACTCACTGATCCCTCTCCTTTGTCCCCGTCGCCCTCTCTTTCCCGCAGCACCCTTGCTTGCCCCGTTTTGAGTACGATAGGCCAGTGATTGGGAGGCCATGGCGGGGCAAGCAATGCTCAAGCCGAGAGGCTTTTCCAGAGCCGTTTCAAAATGTGGCTACCTGCGCCGCGGGCAAGGTGTGGATATGCGGAGAACGGCGCGGGGCACATGCAATTGGCGGGTGGGTTTGCGACGTGGGGGCATCTATGATTTGCGCGCGCAAGCGCTGGTGTTGGTGGCGGCCATGGCGCTTCTTGCGCACGCCTGTAGCGCCGTTTCTATACAAGCGTCCCAAGGTGGGGGTGACTGCCGGGTGGTGCTGTGCGATAACCTCAAGTGAATGTGGGTTCAGCCATCATGCCGCAGCAAAGACCTCATGTCACCCCCCGATCCCAAGACGACCGTTTCCATCCTGTGATCCTTTGGCTGTACGCTACCCGTGGTCCACGTGTTACCAGTGATGTCGCTGTCTGCCGCGCTGCCAGCAATTTCGCATAGCTTTTGCCCGCGTTGCCCATAATGCGTGGCAGTGGCAGTGCTGCAGGAACACGTCCTTCAGCAGCTCGACGGCTGGCGAGGAGTGCGCGCTACCTGAGATCGACTGCGATGCACAGAGACAGATCATCAGCCTGTGAGACACACTGTGTACCCTCACTGTGCACCGCACTGTGCTCTGTGCGTTCTGCGTTATATGCTGTGTCCTGTATGCTTTGTGCCATGTGTTGCGTGTGTTCTATTCTGTGCTGCGACTATTCAGTTTTTGGTTCACAAATCCGGCAGGGAGAGTGAAAGAGGGAAACTTAGGGCGCGGTGCATTTGCGCAAATCCCGAAGTTTGCTTTTTTCTAATCGAATTTCACCCTTTTTCTGAGTTCGATTGTACATTCGAACAATTGCTTCTTTAGGTTCGAGTCGCGGGGACAATTCCGGTACGTCATAAGTGACCATCGAGGCTCCAAAAACGAATTTTGACCCTCAACGAGCCACGAGGACACCAAGTAGGTTACCCGGTGTAGCCTACGTGGCTCTGATTTCGTCCTCGAGATTATTACTGTAGAATACGTCAAATGTCGCCGATCTCGCGCAGCTGCTAAACCACGTTTGAGAGCCCGATTTAAACGCACGTTCGAAAACGCAGTCGACTAACATTCTGGTTCCTTCACTTACCAATAATATTAGAGCTCCAAGTTGGTTCCATGCGAGAGCTTTCGCGACATTCACGAAGCCGGTAACCAACTCAGGTCCAACCGGTTTTCTGAACTTTGATTCAAAAGCACCGCGCCCTTAGCCTTGTCCTCTTCCCTTCCCAACCTCGTCTCCCAGCCTTGTTTGATGGCTATATAAGGGGGTCCTGCCTACCTTTCTTCTCATTATTCTGTTTTTGGCTCACAAATCTATTGATCGCAGGAATTTCCAAGGCTTAGATTTAAACGGCACCATCCCCACCAGCATCACCACTCTCACCGCGCTCACTAATCTGTGCGTGCCACGGTGCCACCTCCTCTCTCCGTGCTTGGAACTTTGAGGCGCCTCAAAGTTGCGGGTTGAGAGACAACTTTTGATCTGCCCAAAAAGCACTCACTAGTTTACGTTCTTGGCCGGTGTCAAGCTTCGGGCCAAGCTTGATACGAGGTAGGATTGACGGGCATGAGCGAATATCGAAATATTGTGTCAGTCCTCGCTGGAGGGGCCTGACACCAGGAAACTTGGCCTGAAGCTAGACACCAGCCTGGAACGTACCCTTACTCGTCCGAGTCATATTGGCACCCCTCTCCTTGTGCTTTGAGACGTTGCATAATCTGCCGCACTCAATTCCTTGTGCTTCTGGCAATGCATTGGAGAGAGCAAGAGAGTGGAGTAACGTAACGAGAGGACTTGCGGTGTGGCGCAGTGCAGTGTGGTACAACGTTGTGCTGTGCAGTGCGGTTCATTGCAGTGCAAAGCAGGCAAGGTGGATGATGGTGGAAAGTAAAGGCTTGTGTCATTCTTGTTTTTCAGTTTCAGCACACCGCCACTCTCACGTAATCACAGATGCTGGTTTAACACATTTTTTATCTCTCTGCCCACTCTCTGCCTTCCGCCCTCTGCCCTCTGCTCTCTGCGGCTCTGCCCCCTTCCCTCTGCCCTGCCTGTAGTGATGCCACCTCGAATAAATTCGTTGGGTCCATTCCCTCTTTCATTACACGCCTCTCTCAACTTGTTCACCTATGAGCATCTCCCTCCACCCCTACGGATATTGAAAGAAAATCAGAACTGGGAAGGCTATGACAAAATCCTTAGGGTTTAGAAAATCTCGTGGCCATATTACTGACATATTTGTGGTGTTTTGTTTTAACAAGTGTTGAATTGTTCTGTTGTGTCATGGTTCCCCAATGTCTAGATCAAAATTGCTTTTTCCTCTAGCTGCATGACAAACACAATCATCCATGTCTCAAGCCACGGGCCACACATACGCCATATACCAACACATGGCACATGGCACGCATTACATTACATGTCACGTGCTGCATACATATTGCATCTTATCACATCTCACCCATGGCACATGACTCATGTC